CTTCCCTAGCACATGCAAGTGTCTATGGCAAACTGATCTTGGTCTTCAAAGCAGTTTGTCCTTCTACAGAGAGTGGGTGAAATGGGATTCTGCTCTTTGTTAATCAGGCAGAACTGCCAAATGTGACCTGGCAGTTCTCTGAGGTCTGCTAGGTCACTGGAGCTCAGCTTTGCCGTGAGTTTTACTAGGGGCTATGAATATCATGTACTGTGACTCTGGAAGGCCACCCACCCAGCCATGACACTGTGAATAAACAGCACAACTCTAGCCCTTCTTTTCTTTTCCTACCTGAGGAATGACATGATGGGCAGTGGAGAGGCTGGCTGGGTGCCCAGTGAGGTGTAGCCCCCTTGCATATACCAGCCCACAAGATTCTGCTCAAGACATGTTGCTGTGGGTTCCCCCTACAGCGCTGCAATGAGGGCACTGGGGACAGCCCAGGGACCTTTGTGTGTGAGTAGGACAGCAGCCAAACACAGCCCATCTTCTGCTCACCTGCCTTCAGCAGCAGCACTCCCTGCAGCATCTAGGGGTGCCCTGACCACATGGGAATCCTGTGAAAGGTGACACAAGCTGTCCCAGGTGCAGGGCCCCAGTTGCTGAGCTGAGGGGTTTGGACTCCCTTCCATGCCCTTGCACCCAAGATCCCTTCCAAGCAAACCAGGCAGACAGGACAAGGTGAGGGCCCCATCTGGGAATGTTGTTTTGAATGTGTGAGCTGTGTCTCACAGCTGGGTCTGGGGGGTTAGACAGGTTCAAGGTGCTTTTGTCTGAACAGAGTCTTTAGTGTACCTTGGTTGGTGCCCAATACAGTGCTAACCTGAGGAGTTGCTCCTCTTTGGAGAGGTGCACAGAGGAAAAAAGGTGCTGCAGCTACCCACCACTCTGATCACTGGGAAGGAAGGAGATGGCCCAGCAGAGTTTGTGAGCATGGATTCTGCTTGTCCCTCAAATTTATTCCCTCTCCAACACAACTCCAGCTGGTCTCTCTCTAGTTGGGATCCTTCTGTCATATATAACAACTTCCTTTTTTGGACACTGGGGCAGAAGTTACCTGCTGCACTGCTGGAGCAATGACATCCTGGATGGAGTCAGGGTCCCTGCAGTACTGGCTGCTACATGCATAGCCAAAATCAGCAGCCCCTGGCCCAGGCTCCCTAATAAAACTCCATGAGAAGAGGTGTAACTAGGCAATGCTTGGAGAGAGGTGGGTGTTAATAGATCACATGGCTAGCCAGCACTAAAAGCTTGATTACAATTCAATTAAGGGAATGTTTCTAATTAAAGAGTTCTTATTTTAAGCTGTCAATGATTAAAATAAAGGTAGCTGGAGTGTCCGTACACACTCCAATTTCATCCCCAAGGGCTGCATCTACGTTGGGGATTTCTTCAAATTCCCTCCCACTGCCTCAGTCATCAACAGGGGGAGAGTGGGTATGGCCACTGTCCTCCCAGACCTCGCACCTGCCGGCCAAGCAGTGTCACCCCAAACTCTGCTCCCGTGGGGCATGCTGAGAGCTGCTTCTCCTGGATGCTGATTCAGATCCATCCTCCCCAGCTCTGTGTCAGAGCCCACGTCTCTCACTGCCTCTATCAGCCTGCCACTTGCAGCAAAGTCACGAGCGGTGCTGGGCTTTGGCAAATCCTTTCTCCGCTGGTGTGCAGCCACCCAGGGAAGCAGAGCAACCCTCGGCTGGATCCAGCAGTGGCTGCATGCTATTACCTGCCTTCCCATCTGCTCACTGTTACATAAGCTGTGAAAAAACAGAGGCTCAATGGAGCATGTGTAAAGAAATGTCATTACTACGAAAAACTCAATTAAATTTTAAATTCTCCAAGTGCAGGCAAAGTTCTGTAATAAAGCAGATCCAGCAGTGGGAGAGGGAAGCAGCACTGGTTCCCAAAGGCTTGCATAAAAGAGGAACAATTCCCAGGTCTCAGTGGACTGTCAAGTCAGCACAGGCACTGGCTGGCAGTGGCACTCAGAAGGCTGCAGCCCCCCATCTTGGTACAACTTGGAGCAATGACTGCTCTCTGCAGCACACAGTGCCAGCACGGCTGCAGTCTGGGCCTCTGGGTGCCGACAGCCTGTGCTTACATCCTGTATTTGGAAGGTGACATCAGGGGCTTGGCTTAGAAGCACCTAAGGGCTCATCTGGTGTGGGGGCTCCTGAGCCCTTCCCCATCACACTTATCTCCAGCTGCAGGAACTGGGTTCTTGATTTTGGGATGCCTGTGCCAGAGCAGTTCCTGGACCCTGGTGAAGAATCCTGGTGCCTCCAAAGCTGGGCAGCATCTGGCTCTTGCTCCACAGGATCCTCTTTCCCTTCCAGCTCACACTGCACTGGCCTCCAGCCTTTCCTGCAGTCCTGCTCTCAGAGCTCTCCACAGCACCTCCACTGGCTCCTTTGCACATCCAGCCCCCATCTCCCAGAAGCCCCCAAATAATTCTCCACCTCAGGCTCTGCTCCTGTAGCCCCATATAGGCCTGATACATCCTGGCTGCTCCCGCTGACTCAGCTGGCTTTTGGAGGTGCTTTGGGACTTGCTGTGCCCACCTGGCCCACAAACACCCCAGAGTCTGGGGGGCAGTCCCAACTTTGCACCTTTGCACCATCTGTTGGTGGGTGCGCTGTGGACCTCTGTCTGTCCACATTAGGGTTTATGTGCATGCTTCGTTATTTGTGCGGATTTGCAAGTGCTTCACCCAAGGGGCATCCCCACTCCTGAGGGGCGTGGGCTGAGGAGCCCTGAACAGTGTGGGGCCTTCCCGACGGACCCCCGCTTGGCATCCGCTGCCGGCGCGATGGGGCCCAGCACCCTCGTTTGACCATCCCCATGCG